CCCCAAAACCCCAAAACCCCAAAACCCCGTTAATCCAAGATCAATAAAAGATTAATATATAATTAAGCTTTAATAAATATATAATAGAGAAATAGGGTAAAATGATAAATTTTTAGGAGAGCATCGATGATTAAAACATATAAGAAAATACTCTTTAGCCTGTGATCAAAGGCAACAGCATTTCAAGTGAGAAGTCCAGCTCAAAGTCAACTGTGATATCTCACAACTATTTCTGCTAGGATTGCCAGGTATCATTCTAAAAGCCCAGTAAACTTAGACGCCACATCTAAAATGTGCATGAGGAGATAGTAAGTAATAATATTATAATACTTGCTTAATGACACAAACTTTTTATAGAGACCATTTAAATGTGACGATTGCGGTTAAACTTATAAAAGAAAGGAGCATTTAACAAGGCATTAGTCATCAGTTCATGCAAGTGAAAGACTCCTGGATTGTCCCTACAGAGACACTGAGGGATGCTTACTGAGATTTCCCAACAGAGATTAACAAAGGAAACATATTTAGAGGAAGCATGAAAAGAAACTGTACTGTGAAATATGCTATTAAGAAGAGTTGAGAGATAAAATTAATCCAGAAGTGGAGGATTTAGCAGAAAATGAAGAGGCTAAAGATAAATTTGAAGAAAATGAGGAGGTGAAATCATTGATAAATGATAGTGAATATGAGGAATATATTTCTATAAAAGAAGAGAAGTCTGAATAGAAATTAGTGGCTGGGCCAATATTTTTTACAAAGAAATCCTAACTTAAAAAGCACATGAGTGAGTACCATGATGAAGGTTATGAGTGTGTTGGTCATTGTGGAAAAAAGTTTGCCAAAAAAAAGCTGCTTCAAGCACATTTAGCTAGAATTAAAAAAAACTTGAAGAAAAAGAATGCCAAAATATATAACTATGCTGAGGACGAGATTTCATATGATGCAAGACTAATGAAGCTAAACAGCAGTTCTATTCATGAATAGGATGAAGAATCGAAGTCAGAATTTTCACAGATGACAATGCGCTAGGACCCTTACAAAAGAACAAAGATTGACTATAGTGGACTTGCAGGTGATGAAAGCATAGATTAAAGCATGATTCATTAGTTATGCTCAGCAGGGAAAGATGGAAAGAAAATTGAGGAAGATTAGCAAAGTATCTACAGTATAGATAGATTTTTGAATCTAAATGGCCAGAGAAAGGAAAGCTTTCATAGTAGATTTGAACTGTTGTCGCCAAGAAATAAGTAGTTAATGATATGTAACGCTTGTGGTAAAATTTAAGGACTTAGCTAGAAGAGTTTTCACTTCAAGTAGCATATAAGAAGATGTACAGGTATAAAGTGTAAGAAGTAAATAAGTAAGACAAGTTTATACATCTAAGATCATAGAGATTTGAAAATTGAGTAAACAGTATAAAATACTAAAGATGAAGGTATGATTAGTTCTAATATGATACTTTGAGAGTTAACTGTGTCTAAATATGTGCATAAATAAATACAATTAGGTTCTGTAGCTATAGAACTTATCTAATTAAAATTTATATATCTTTTAATTTCATTATAGTCTAAATTTTTAATATATCATAAGAGGGGTATTGAAAAGCTATGATAAAAATATTAATCTTATAAATTGTAAACATATCTAGTAAAATTTATTAATATTTCAATACTGGTTTCTAATTTATCGACTCTCAATAGATACCTTTTTAAACCAGTGTTTGATGTAAGGAATTATACTTTGCAAAATGAAAATCTCTTGACGCCTAAGGCATTGCAATACTGCCATACCTTTTTTTGAAAGTAATCTGATCAGCGTTATAAGTTTAGGGTCCTGGTGAATTCTCTTTTCTTACTCGTAGAAGTCCTCTATCACCTTTTGGCAGTGAATACATTTGTGAGGATTTCATATTTAAATTTGTTACTTTGTCATGATCATTGTAATATGCTCCAGGACCTAGTCCTTCTCTACCATAAAAATGAGCCTCAGCACCATGATATTAGACTTTATCCCATTTATCATATTTATTTCCAAATGACGAATTCAGTTTTGAGGGGACATTGTTGACGTGAGAAATAGAGGCTATCTCATGGGTATTATATATTGGACCTGGCGTCGTTTCATCTTCCTTTGATATTTTATAATGCATTTTCTAACCGAATCCTATGGATATTTTGTTATACTTATCACTCTGCTCTTGACTTATAGGCTGATATTATATTGGTAGATTTGACTTCAGTACTTTGATATGTGTTTACTCAAAGAATCGATCCTATTTTCCAACAGAAAACTACACATTCTTGAAGTTCTGATTGTCTCTACTTGGACTATAATGGTTGAATCCTGGACTATCTTTGCCTTAAAAATCCTAATAAATACAATTTAAAATCATGCCATTAATTGTGTTCTTGAGTAGTAACTTACAACTTTCATCTCAGGAAACCATGAGGTATTTGTCTTCTTTTTCAGAGAATAGCAAGGCCCATTCCTCATAGGACCTTCGATAATTTGATTGCCTATCAAGCTCTTCAAGTTATATTATCCTGGGCCCACAGGATTCAAATAAGTAGACAGAGCTCTGTCTAGGTCTGATGAAGATCCTTGGTGATCTATTCAGCTAATATTCAAACTCCTAAGTGTTCGATGAGAGGCCTTGTTATCTGAATAAAAATTCTTGAAATATTTCTCTTACTAGTAGGATCGGTCAAGTGAGACATTATTGATTTATTTGGAGTACGACTTAGATTTGTACTTGCGTTTAGCTTGGAATTGTTTAGATACCTTTCCATTAATTCATCTATATCACCTGATTAACTCTGAAGACGTTTTTATTTTTCCCTCAATTTTTCTATCTGTTACACACCTATTAATTTCAATTCAGATTTATTTACCAACATTAACTTGTGACTTTTTTCTTGTCATCGGTTTCTCTTCTATCTATGTCAAATAATCTATAGCTCTCATTGTATTAGTTTTGTAAATAATAAATTTAAATATAATTAATATGATTCCCCTTCCGATTTTTTCTTCTAAATCTAGACTCTGGGGTTTTGGGGTTTTGGGG